GCCATCCCGCTGAGGAGCGGACGGGCGTGGCCAAACGCCAATCGGCGCGCACCCGCCCGAGAGGATGGCCAATGGGCGGGTTGGTCCCGCCCCTTCCGCGAGTGCTCCTGGGAGTCGTAGTTTTGCGCCGCGGCAAGTTCGACATGATGGCGGCGTGCGGGGGGGGGCGATGGTTCTCTCTCCCCTCTCCCCTCCTGAAAGCGCGTGTTTCTGATCGCGAGGGGACGTTTAGGAGCCGTGGCGGGCGGTGTCTGGTGCCCACCGCAGCAAGCAATAACGGGAGTGTCCCCTCACCCTGGCCTGGGCCGTGCCTGGAGCCCGCTGGGAGGCCGAGAGCGCCGGGCCTCAGGATGCTGCTCCCACATGACGGGGTGCTTGAGGGGAAAAAGGGGGTTCCCGTGGGGAGTGACCACCCCCGGGTCCAGTGGGGCCACAGGTTAGGCGGGAGGACGCCGGTCAGTCAGGACCAGGCCTAGGCAGGCACAGTGGTGAGCCCTGGGCTGTGCCAGTCCCGCGCCCAGCAGGGTTTAAATCCGCCTGGCTTTCAAAATGCCTGGTTTCACCAGGGAGCACAATGGAAAAGTTGTTCATCCCTTCTTTACATCCGTCTTGTCCTGAATTTGAAGATTTATCCCATCTCCTCATGGCATTAAACTGTCCCAAGATGCTTAATAATAGATGGGAGCCGCCACGGAAAGCCTGCTCTTGAAGCAGCAGAAGAAGCAGATGATTGTTCACACATTCTTTATTATCAAAAAAGAATGAAACCAATATTAAATTAAATAAATTACAAACATTTCTGAGCTGGTTATACATCATGCATTTATCAAGTAAGGCTTCAGAGCCATTACACATCAATATCACTGTTACTTTATGAGCAATAAAGGGACACTGGAGGTGATATTTTTATTACCCCAGCACGAATTTGACCTTCCCTAATTCTCTTGCCAGGGCACTTGGAAATTAAGACTTAGAACTGTCCATCAACGATACCTTTTGCCCACTGGTATCACAGTTACTGCCAGAATTGGCCCGTGGCTACAGAAATGAGGTATCCTTCTTCCTGGGCCATCAGAATCACAGAGCATGTAGTCACTGCTGCTACTTTCAAGCCATCTCTCGACATCCCATCCATTATGTCTGTAGTAACTTCAAGAAATAATCTCTTTTTTATATGTGGTCTGTTGCTCTGAGGCTCCTTGTGTTCGGCGTGTCAGGTCCCGAGACTGTGAAATCAGCCTCCTGTAATTAACCCTGAATGCAGAACTGGAAATTGGAATTTTCCTCATTTAACGTGATGCCACCTCAGAGATACAGAAATATTGATTAGCTACTGCAGGAGTTTCTTGTTCCATTGCACCATTTTCTTTGTTGCTTTTTCAAGCGAGCAGGTAAAAGGAGCACTCAGGCAGTAACAAAAGACCGTGAGTAATCACCCTCAAAGAAGATTTAAGAGAATTAATCTCTTGATTTTACCTTATAGAACAAGCTATACACCGTTTTGGAAAAAATCGCTGCTGTCTAAGATTAAAATAAGTAATATCCATTAGTTAGTGTGTTTCTCCTTTTGGAAACTAACCTCCTTTGGTTTTATTACTCTCTCCTGCACCACATAATCAGAAACTGAGGTAGAGAAATGGTGACTTCGTTAATGAGGTGTTATATAAAACCAAACTGGCGGGGTCCTGATGTAGTTTCCTTTAATGGCTGTCTGACGGTTCCTGAAGCTCTATTTTCCTTAAAAATGAGACATCTGGGAGCTGAAGGAAAGCCCCACTTTCTCTCCCCAGAAAGCCTCCTAGCAATCTGCTAGTGAATCGTCTCAAGAATGTATATATAGTTCAAAACTGTACATTAAAGCTTGCTAATATTTTTAATATCTTAGAGAAATAAAATAGAAATAACTTTTAAAAATATAATTTACTTTCATTATTAAGGCCACTCTTTATTTTTTTGCATCCATGGAAAGATAACAGACTGTCCAGTTTTGCTTTTGTTACTTTTCAGTTTTTCATGTTGACTCTTGCATTTTATCCCAGTGCTGGAAATACTTTGTAGGAAGATTTGAAATTCCAACAAAAGTAATTGTTTTCATTGCAGTCAAAGACATGCTAGTATGTGTCTTTATCTTAAATGTTTTGTAACCTTATTTTCATAAAAGTCATATTTGAGGTTGAAATGCACTGAAGAAATAAGGGTCCTTTTAACCCTTGGTTTACACTTAGATTTTTCAGGCTTTATATTGTCATCTTGTCATTACTGTCACCACATCAGCACTGGGTGAGAAGGGAAGGCATCAGAAAAGGAAACTAAAATAGCAGTTGTCATTAGCATCACTCAAATATGAAAGAATGTCAGATTTTTAGGAATTATTACAATCTCAGCTGTCTGTCTCTGGGTTAGTGAGGCAGGCTTTCTTGCCTGAGAGGTAGATGGCCCTGGTAGCATCAGTCTGTGGTGAATTTTAATGAAAATCATCAAACATGTAGTAGAGACTTGTTATGGATGTATCACATACTATGCAAGAGTTTTCTCTTGCTCCACAAGTGACCGTTGGAGAGCTTGTCACCAGAAGCCCTGCACAGCACAGTGTCACTTGGGCTGTTCCCTGGTTGCAGTCATAAAAACCACTCAAGTTTCAGTTTTACTGCTCTGGATCGATGGCATCATAAAAAGTGTGCATAAGGGGCTTCCTTCCCTGTCCCTGAATTTGCTACTTGTGATCAAAATGGTTTGGGAAGAACATCTTACCCCAAAGCACTCCTCCATGTTCTGGACTAAATCTTTCAGTTGTTCCAGTCAAGAAGAAGATGGGAAGAGTCAGAACACCCTTGGGATTAATGCTTTCATGCCATTCACAGTCTAAGAGCCTTATCTGAAGCACAGTTCAGTCAGTAGAAAGATTCCCTAAAAAACTTCAGCGTGCATTTGAACTGGACCCTGGATCTTTTCAACATGTACTCAGCCCACTGGGCAGGCAGGACGGTATGTGCGTGTAACACGCAGTAACAATTCCTATTTCTGATTACCGGCTAGTCCTATTAGTACAGAAAAAAAAAAAAAATCGTAATCCTGAAAGTAGCCCTACTGAGATAGAGTACCGAGGTCTTCAGGGTGTCAGAAATACAGGATGGTTTGAGGCAGTGGTTGCTGGGACACTGGGTCACAGAGAGAGCAGTGCAGGGGTCAGAGGAGAGGGGCCACAGGGGAAGCAGAGACGATGCTACACAGACACGCCGGGAAATTCAGGGGTTTGCACGTCACTGTGCAGACACCCCAAAGGTCAGTGCACGTTTTAGGGCAAGATGCTGCGTCGCTGCGCCTTGCAAGAGTTGCTTCTGCTCATAAATCGAAGCCGTGGAAGGCTCTGGATATTTGCTTGTATTACACTTCATCAGGAAAAGAGGGAGGAGGGAAAAGAAAGAAGGGGGATGCCCAAATTACGTAATGCCTATGTGGGCAGAAGGGAGCGATTGTGTGAGACAAAGGAGAGCACTTGGCAATAATGACTAATTGTCCCGTTTGGTAAGGCACCTGCCTTCAAATGAACTCACTTCTCTTCGTAATTAATGAGGTGACATTTCCTGAGTTCCTGCTTCCGCAGATTTCTGTAGCCTGCTCCAGAGCCCGATTGCTCTGAATACCAGAAGCAAAGCAGGAAGGAGGGAGGAATTTAACAGTTTGAGAGGTGTGACGGCCTCTTGCTTTGCAAACTTATTGTATCCCCAGGTAGAAGTGCAGCTCTTCACGAAGGGATGGGAGAGAGGAGTCTGCTCGGGAGGGTGTGCCCGCACGCTGAGGCTCCCCTTGCGCTCACAGAGCTGTCTGGGTCTCTGAGTGGAACATGCTTCCAAACATCTCCTAAAGGGCACACAAGGCACGCTGGGTTAGGGCTGATGCTTTGGCACAAACCCAGTCACGCAGAGAAACACCACCAGAAACTCCAACCCTTCCCAGCCCTCTTCTGCAAGGGAAAGCTGGCCCTGGGGCGGCTGCTCTGCTTCTAGCTCTAGCGTGGGGAAGGTCAGCGTTGGAACGTGTCTCCCCCCAGGACCCTGGGTTCAGCGGGTGCAAATCGCTTCAGCATTAACAAAGTCTGTGCTGAAGAACTTGACCAGTGACCCTTCTTTTGGGCTTGAGTCAAACCTGGTTCTCCACGTTCTCCCCAGTGCCTGGAGACCCCAGGTCTGGCTGTGAACCTGAGCTGTGTGGCCTGGAATGGATGACAGGATTCCCTTGTGGCTCCTTCACCCTGATACCTGCCAGAGATCCTCATGACGGGGATTTTAAATTATTTTTGCAGCTAACTCTTCAGAGCGTTACTGTTACTAGCCATTTGCCTTGCAGTGCCGCAGGGGACTTCCCATCTAATCAATCCCAGCCACGACTTCTGATTTCCACCGTATGTCCACAGCTGAAGAAGTGACCCCTGGCACTAGAACTAACCTCCTCCAAGTTCTTGAATTCTGCGCTGCTTTCATCCACAGACTCGTCATAGATGGAGAGCTCTGTCTGATTCGGCCTCTGTGAAGGAAAGAATCAAATCCATAAATTAGCAGAGTGCAAAGTTGAGAAGAATGAAACAAATTACTAACTCAGGCTTAAGATGTCACACATGCTCAAAGGGAAATGCCCGGGAAGAAGGGGCACAGAGGAATCCTGTTTCAATTGTTTATGTCCTCTGACTGAGCTGGCATTTACTGCTGAGATATGAGATAACTTACTCTCCTGAGATAACTTACTAGCACTGCCCTGGCTCCA